CGCGGGTTGCCCCCTGCCAGTCCTGGCTGCTGTGCCTGCAGTGAGCGGTGGTGGGGAGCAGGAGGTGGCTGCAAGGCGCTTGGTTCGGAGATGACATCCAAGGGGCAGCAAGGACCATCTTTGGAGGGAAGGGGCCTTCATGCTCTCAGAGGGCAAAGCAAGAGAGCAGCCTGCAACAGAGGTGTTGTACACCGTAAATACAACCCACGGCAGCATCCCACAGAGTTCCTGCCACCACCGTGGCTGGTGTTGCTGCAGTGGACCCTGCCAACTACTCCTTGGCCACTGCCAGCCGGGAGGACACCCCACCCTTTCCTCCCTCACCCATGGCCACCACGGAGGTTAGCACTGATCAGTGTTGGGGGCCTCTTTGGTGTATCCTGGTCCTGGTGGCCCCTCGGGCCGACACGCTGCGCTCTGGAGGAGCCAGGGACTGTCCTGGCGCGGGTGCTGCAGGTGAGCAGGGCAGCCGGCAGCGAGGGGCTGTCTCTCACGGCATCTCTTCCCGCAGGGCCTGGCTGTGCTGGTCCTGTTCTGTGTGCTGAATGAGGAGGTGCAGGAGGCCTGGAAGCTGGCTTGTTTCGGCAAGAAGGGGCAGACCGAGGAGGCCACGAGGAGCACACAGGTGGGCGAGAGCAGGAGCAGCCCAGGGGTCTGGGGACAGGCTGTTCGAGGAGAGCGGGCTCATCCGCATCACCCTGGGGGCCTCCACCGTCTCGTCGGTGAGCAGCGTGCGCTCTGCCCGCACCCACTCCAGCCAGCGGGCTTACCTCAGGTAGGGAGCGGCGCGGGGCTGCGGCATGCCGGGAGTGCCCGGGCAGAGCCGGCGGCTCCTGCCGCTGTGACTGTTCGGGTCTCGTGTCTTTCAGAGACAACGTGACGGCACGTCAGGGCTCGGCCCTGGATCACAGCCTGCTGGCCCACGCTGGCCCCACGGACATCGACGTGGCCATGTTCCACCGCGATGCTGGGGGAGGTAAGGCTGGGTCTGGGGCCAACCTTGCGCATCCCAAACTAACTCCTGGCTTAAGGAAACCCTTTCCAGTGCAGGCTCTGGCTGCATGATTACATTCTCCACCCCATGTTCGGCTGTGACCCCCAAACACACCACGGATGCGAGGGAGAGGCACCAGCTGTGTTGCTTAGCACAGCCTTCTCCCGGACAGACAGCAAAGGGCACAGCCGGTTTCCAAGGAGCTAGAAGTGGAGGAGGCAAGAGCAGGGGCATCAGCTGTCACGGGGTCACTGGGTTCCCCAGTACAGCACAGGCACTGACTCACTGGAGAGAAACTGGTGGGGGTGACCCTCATGGCTGGGGCGTGGGACAGGCGAGCAGAGGCTGAGGGAGGTGGGTGTGCTCAGCCTGGAGGAAGAGGAGGGAGGGGGGATCTTACAGCTGTTTGCAACTGCCTTACGGAGAGGTGCAGCAAGGTGGAGCCAGGCTCCTCTCATGGTGGCTGGTGAAAGGACAGGGGAGCAGGCGCAGGCTGCTGCCGAGGGAAGGGCGGTGTCGGTACGGCAGGCTGTTGTCCTAACAAGCGTGGTCAGCCCTGGGCTGCTTCTGCCTTCCTGGAGGCAGTCAGAGCCCGCCTGGCCCTGCCACTGGGAGCATCTCCCTCCTTCATTCCAAATGTCTTCCCAACACACGTCGTGTCCCTGCAGACCAGGACTCGGACTCAGACAGCGACCTGTCTCTGGATGAAGAGCACAGCCTCTCCATCCCGTCCTCGGAGAGTGAGGAGAACGTGCGCCTGCGGGGCCGCTTCCAGCGCCAGTTCAAGCGGGCAGCACACAGCGAACGCCTCCTCACCAACCCTGCCAACACCACTCCCAAAGGCAAGCCCGGGGGCTCTGGCAGGGGAAGGGGTGAGCCCAGGTCCCTGGGGGCCAGGCCATGTCTTCCGATGGCTTCATTTGCCCCTCACACAAGTATTCTTTCCCTCTTCCCCTGGGCCCATTCTGCTGTGTCCTTCGCCAGACGTGGATGGGAACGACCTCATGTCGTACTGGCCGGCTCTGGGCGAGTGTGAGGTTCACCCCTGCTCCCTGCAGAAGTGGGGCTCCGAGCGGAAGCTGGGTTTTGACATCAACAAGGACGCGGCCAACAATAATCAACCAGACCTGGCCTTGACCAGCGGGGACGAGAACTCCCTCACCCAGACCCAACGGCAAAGAAAAGGTAATGGCTCGGAGCAAGCGGGCCAGGCTGGCCTTGCCTGTCTCGGGTTGATGTAGCCCTAAAGGCTCAGCATCAGATCCATCTTGTGTCCTTGGGGTTGTATGGCTTATCTCTCCCGGCTTTCGTGCTCTTTTCACTGTTACACAAAGATTTCACTTCTCGTTCTGTCTGGTGCAGGGATTTTGAAGAACCGCCTCCAGTACCCTCCCACTCTCCAAGGCCTGCCATCCGTTGGCAGGATGACCAACGAGCTGACATGGTACAAGACCTCCACGCTGGGTCACAGGGCTGTCCCCGCCGCCTCCTACGGCAGGATCTACTCTGGGGCGGGCAGTCT